CCCCGGCCCCTGCCTACTACGCCCGGCTGGTGGCCTTCAGGGCCCGCTACCACCTGGTGGACAAGGAGCACGACAGGTGAGGGGGCTCTGGGGACAGACCCCAGGGGTGGGCAGGGGCCACGAGCTTTGCTGTTTGGACGCGCTGGTGTCAGAGCAGCCCCTTTTTGGGGGCAGAACAGACCCGCACGTAGCTGCATCCTCTTATGTCCCAGCCCAGGAGCAGCTGGGGGTTAAAATCCTGAGCTCACCCCGGGCCTGGAGGAGCATCCTGGGGTGTTGGGGCATTTCCAGCCCCCCTGAGGTGCTGGGATCTCTGCGGTGCCAGGGATGGTCACCAGCGCCGTCCCCATACACCGCACTGAGGTGCCTCCCTGTCCTGATCTCCGAGGGGGTTTCTCAGCATTCCCAGAGGGAAATATGAAATAATTACGCGGTGATTTCCTTGGTTTTCAGTGGCGAGGGCAGCCATATATCTGGACAGAGCAACGGCAGAGACCCCCAGGCCTTGGCGAAGGCTGTGCAGGTTCATCAGGACACTTTACGTACCATGTACTTTGCTTGAAAGCCTAACTTTTGTTACCTCACTCAAGAAAGCTTTCAGATTTGTAGGAGCCATACAAAAAAGGAAGCATTGGGACACCTTGGTTTTTTTCCAATGAGAAATCACTGCAGGGCAGGCAGCGTCGAGGCGAGGCAGGAGACCAGCACCACGGGACAGAACGATCCGACACCTTTGCAGGATTGGAAGAGACTGACGATTATTTTTTTAAGTTTTTTTTTGTGGTTTTTTTGTTCTTTTCTGGCTTTGCAAAATTTTGACCTGACCAAACACAACGAAGGCGTTCGAGGAAGGGATAAAACTGCCAGGAGGCGGAAGCAGGTTTTCATTTTTAAGATGCAATACTTAATAGACTCCTGACTGTGAACTGGCGGCTTTGGTCCTCCGTTGCCCACCAGGCGCTGGTAGGTATTTTTTGTGGGGGTTGGGGGGGGAGGGGATTTTTAGAGCCTTAAAACAGAAGACTAGATTTATAAAACTTAATATTTTAGAATATGAGATGCTTTAATGGGTTGAGGGGAAAAACAACTAGTTTCTAGGAGAATTCTAACACTAACGGTTCCCCGCCCCCGAATGATCCCCCCCGTGCGACGTAAGGCACCCTAGCACTTAGCTCGGAGCTGAAAACTGTCTTCCTCGTGTTCAAAGCTAGAGAGCTGCTGCCGTTCGAAGCAACAGTCACAGACTTTTCCATGGGTGAGTGCCTTACTACGATGCTGCAAAATCTCCGTGTTTTTAATCTCGTAAGGAAAACAGTAATCTTGTCTTGATGGTGGTCCATATTTCCATCGGAAGGAGTTGATTTCTATGGTCCTGAGTTGCAGTTTGTGTTCGATCACGACCTCACGGTGGTTAAACTCCATTGAAAGATGTGCACTTTCACACAGGACACGTTTAATGGCTGCTGACCCATTTTTGTTTCCAATGTACTACTTGTTATTTAAAACTGTTTCTGACAAATGGGGGCATCTTCATCCCATGAGGACAGAAATCGCTGTCGATTTTTTTTTTTCTTTCTTTTTTTTCTTTTTTTCTTTTTTTTTTTCCTGAATTTGTATGATGGACACCGGGGGTTTTTTTTTACTAAACATTATTTTTATACGACACCGAGTCCGTGTTGCCAAAATCCACGAGTCATTAACATGCTCAGAGTTTACATCTCCGCCCTTCCCGAGGCTGTGTCCTGTCCGATGGGTGTTACCGACCGCGCTCGGCGCAGCACCGGGCGCCCCGCAGCACCCAGCACCCCAGCTCCGGCACCTCCGACCCCCTCGCTGCTGCTTGGTTTTGCTGCTCTCTGTGTCGTGGGATCGTAGATCTCACGTGCAGGGTTTTGATTCTGAAAGCGCGCCAGGTTTGGTCCTTAGTCAGAATGACGAAATCCTCGCTATTGGGATGGGGGAGACTCCTCCTGATTTGGGTTTGGAACAGGAAAACAGCTTGTTTTTCCCCACCAGTAACGTAGTTTAAGACTGCTTTTCAGACCCGTTTTGCTGCATACACCGTGGGGCAGTCGTAGCAGCTCATTGCCAATATCCCGTGGGCAGATTCTCTGGGTTTTTGTACTAGGAAAGTGAGCAACCACGATGCGCACACTGCTGCCACGCTGACGGGGCAGAGCTCTGATATCATTTCACTGCGTTTCCAAGGCAGACCCCCCGAGCAATGCCCCGGTCAGCACACGTGGACAGAAGCACACCCTTTGGTTTTGTACTTTCTGACGTTGAAATTCGCCTTCATGGAAACCTCCCCGGTGGTGCTGCTCTGTCCCGGCACCGGGACCGCGCTCTGCCGGTTTTCTTTTTGGGCAACGTGTTTGTGGAAACCGAAGACATCGATAACGCTATGCAAACCACGTGCTGAGCCCACCGATGGTTCGTGGAGATCCTATGTTTAGCACAGTCCTAGTTTTCCCTCAAGACTCGCAGTATTTGGTTCATATTCTCCTTTGCGCCGTGTGCCAACCTCCACTGCTGTGCATCCGCAAGGTGACGGGGAGGAGAGCAGGAGCGGTGCGGGGTCCGTGGGGCGGTGGACTCCTAGGAAGGCTTTTAGGGAGCAGGGAAGGCGTCAGCGGGAGAAGCCTACATTCCTCTACACAAGTGCCTGCATAGTGACACCAGTTCAGCACCTCCATCCCCCAGCGCTCTGGCTTGTGTTCACGGGAGCAGAACGATCTCGGGGGGCTGCGTCCCCTGTCCTGGTGTCAGGAAGCCCCCTCGCTAAGAACGAACCCGGGGTTTAAGGTCGAGGTTCTCTCTGCAAATCAGTTTGTTCACCAGCATTACGACGAGAAGCCCCTGGCTGCCGCTCTGCGGCGAGGGGCGAAGGTGTTTTGGTTCCTAGTTCTAATTTTAGTGTTTTAGTTGGGTCTAGAGTTCGGAGATGTCTTTTAGTAGCTGTGGCATAGCGCGTGCCATTTTTAACCATTTGAAAAGCGATAGTGTGGGCATTTACAGAAACAGCTTGTTGCTCTGTAACAGAATTTTTTTTTTAACCTTGAGACTTGAAATGTAAAATGGACCTTTAAGATTTGCACTCATTTGTAAGGTGGCTGTTCATAGAAAACTATGAATGAAGACTTGCTGATGTAGCACCTACTTTGAACAGCAATTTTAACTACACAAAAGCTTCACCGCTTCTGAAACTCTCAGCTGTTGACTTGCAGATCGTGCTCTGCCCTTCCTTCACCCTCTGCGTTGGGTTTTCGCGGTTTGACTAAATCAGAAAGCCCAGCTCGGTAGCTGCTGTGCCCTTCAAACCCCGTTTCCACGTCGAGGACATTTAGAAGGGGTCCGAGTTCCCCGCATGTTTTGTATCATGGACTATGCACTGTACCCTCTACGCGGCTCCAGCATTTCCACCCTTTTCCTGCCCGAGATGCAAACCAATAACTGCATGTTGAGGTGCTGCGCGTTTTGCTCCCCGTAGCGGATAGGTGCGACCCCAGCCACGCGCCGGGATCCGTAGCCACGCGTCCCCACGCACGGCCCCGGCGCTCCCGGTCTCTGCCTTCTCCATGCGCTCGCGTTCCTCCTGCAGCGGGACCGGGCCGGGCGCCCGCGGTGCTGGGGGTGGCTGGCGTTTCCCGTCGGGCATTGGGTGCTCTGCGCTTCTCTTCTCTCCTACCTGACCAGAACGGGGCGAGGGGCAGAGCCGCCCCCTCCCCAGAGCCTCGGGGCGGGCGCACCCAGCCCCGGTGGTGGTCAACGTTGCCTCGCGGGAGGTTTTCTTCTTGGAAAATCGGTGTGAAATCCCAGCCCGCGCTTGTTTCAGGAAGGGAAGCCAGGCAGCAAGCAGGCCAGCAATAAACAAGAGAAATCCGTATCTTGCCTGAGTGATTTGCACTTCAATAGTTGTGAAAGAAAATCAACGGGACTCCAGTGCTTTTGTGTTCAGTTTTTAGCCCCTTTCGTACCTCCTTTATGCGAGCAAGCGTTGAGCCGTACGCGGGGTGTTCGCAGGACGCTCTCTTTGGGTTGTTAATTTTCTTGTGGGGTTGTTTTTTTTATTTTTGCTTTAGCTTGAACTCTGTACGGTCCATTTGTTAAATAGGCGTGAACAGTCGATGTACAGTACTTACTAAACAAGCAGCAGCACAAAACTTATTTTATTAAGAAAATATGGCTTATATTTTAAAGGTTGAATATCGATTTTTGGTTTTTTGTATGCCTGGGATTAAGACTGCTAAAGAGTAACAAAATCCTTGGATTAGGCCAAAAGAAAATACTGTAAGCTCATAACCACCTCTTTATTAAAGAAAAGGTATGATTAAAGAGCTCCAGAACATTGTATTTATATTTGATTTGATTGCCTTTGTGGATTTGATTTTATTTTTTTTTTTGCCTTGGTCCTGATTTTTGCTTGCAACTTTGACTTTGCAGTCCCAAGTGTCTGTTACCCTGTAACTGTTGGCAGAAGACCTAAATAAAAGCAATGTGAACACGCTGGGGTGACGCTCCTGAGTCGCATCGCGTGGGGAGGGCACAGTTTGTCCCCCAGAAGGGCTGGGGGACGAGCGGTGACGTCCTGACTGGAGCTGAACTGCGCCCGGTGCTGGGGAGGACCCAAGCCCCCAGCTTTCAGCTGAATGAAACACTTAAGTGAACAAATACGTGCTTCAAACTTCCTGGGATGTGGTGGCCAATTCCACTGTTTATTAAAATGTCATCTGAGAACCGACAGCTCCCTGGAGGTGCCAGAAGCATGCACCAAAAGACGCTGCTTTTCCAGTTACGTTGAGTGCTGGGGGGGCTACAAAAGACCCTTCTCTCCAAGGTGCTTTAGGGACAGATTTCGGGCTCCTTTTGGGTTGGGGTTACACTTCATGCTCTGGGTTTCTGCATTTTGTCACGTTTGGCATTTCCCAGCTTTGGAATTCCTTGCAGACGTCCTGCGGCTGATGGGGATGGTTGTGTCTCTGCTGGTGGCTGTGTCTGGATGGCTGTGTCTGGATGGCCGTGTCCGGATGGCTGTGTCTCCATGGCTGTGTCTCAATGGCTGTGTCTGGATGGCTGTGTCTCCATGGCTGTGTCTCAATGGCTGTGTCTCCATGGCTGTGTCTGGATGGCTGTGTCTCCATGGCTGTGTCTGGATGGCTGTGTCTCGATGGCTGTGTCTGCATGGCTGTGTCTCGATGGCTGTGTCTGGATGGCTGTGTCTGGATGGCTGTGTCTGGATGGCTGTGTCTCCATGGCTGTGTCTCGATGGCTGTGTCTGGATGGCTGTGTCTCCATGGCTGTGTCTCAATGGCTGTGTCTCCATGGCTGTGTCTGGATGGCTGTGTCTCCATGGATGGCCGTGTCTGGATGGCTGGGCTGTGTCTCGATGGTTGTGTCTCGGGGCCCAGCACTGGAGGCCGTTTGCCATCCCCCGAATTCCTTGGCTCTGTGCTTTACCTTGCAGACGTGCATTGAGGTACCTTTAGGCGATGAATTATTTAGCAGTTGAGCTGTAACTGGGGGGTTTTGAATAATGCTAAGCAATTTTAAGGAAGTGCTTGTTAATGGCATGCATGCACTCACTGCCTCATTTACTTAACTGCAGCACACAGGATGGATGGTGCTGAGCGGAGCATCCATACGGGTTCTGCACATCCTCCTGCTGGTTTTAGTATCACCTCTTCTTTAAATCCTGCTATCTCATAGAAATCTTCTGCAGTTTCAAGGGGACTTTCTGTGCGAGAGCTCTAACAGAAGATGGTGGCTTGTGCTGCTGGGTCTGAAGTCCTGGAAAATGGATCAGACGACGCGGTTTCAAATGTTGGATTGGCATTTGAGCTGCAGCCCCCGGTTCTGGTTACAGCGGCCTAAGCTGCACAACCAAAGCGCTTGCATGGCCCCAAAGCCTGCATTTTGCAGAGGTGTCTCCCTCCCCCTTATCTGCTGGATCTTGGGGATCGCATTTCCCCTTCCCTCTCAGGATTTCAGTTCAGAAATAATCTGTTCATTTGCATGGGGTTAGAATCTTTACTGTGTAACCTCCCTGATAACTACATTCACGCTTAGCTAATTTAGCTGGGAGTC